CTAGTAACAGCTTCCTCGCACTCGACGGATTCCGCGGGCAGCGAACACGAGAGTGAGAAGGTCTGCCCGATCCCAAGCATCATCGTCGATGGGCTCGCTCCGTAGCATAAAAGGCCACCGATAGATACACGCCTGCCTGTAACCCAAGAGCCAATCCCGGCTTCGCTGCTGGACGAAATCTCCAACAGACCGAGAAGGAGGCCTGATCGTAAATCGATCGACCTCTTGCTCGACGACCAGGAACATGGACGCGAAGCAGCACGCCGGCGGCGCGGTCCTGTGCGCCTACGGCTGATTTTCTGTGCCACGTAGGACAAGGCGTGTGTGTGGTGTGTGACATAGTTCGCCCACACATCTGTTTTACCACACGGAGGGATCGGTGTGTGGGCGTTTAGCAGTTCATCCACACATCAGTTTTCAGTCATGCACAAAGGCTGGTGTGTGGTCATTTGTCATCTCGCCCACACGCCCGTCTCCTCTCCCACACGTAAGCTGCTAGTTGTCATGTATTTTTGCAGCGCACATGGCAACTGTCTCTAGTGTGCTTTATAAGCAGGTGGCAACTTTCTTTTTTTACCCGAGTTGCCATGTGTTTTTGCAGGGTATACGGCAACTGCCTAGTGTGCACGTAAGCAGATGGCAACTGTCTTTTATCGAGTTGCCATGTGTTTTTGCATGGTACATGGCAACTGCCCCAACGTGCACGTATATGGCAACTGCCCTAACGTGCACGTAAGCAGATGGCAACTCTTCCTTTTTACATGACAACTGCCCTAGCATGCTTGTGAGCACATGGCAACTCTCTCAACTGCCTAGTGTTAGTATGTGGCAACTCCTAAAGTTATGAAATCATGTCAACTACATTAGATCAGACCATACATGGCAACTGTAGTTGAGCAACCATGGCAACTGCAGTTGTCCGACATGGCAACCGTAATTCAGCGACATGGCAACTGCAGATAAACGAATATGGACGAGGGTCTGAACCATGGCAACTGCGGGCGCGCGGTGGGCGTCACGCGTCACGTGCCGGACCAGAAGGGTACGAGGCCTGACATACGGGCGTGTGGGCGTTATCAACTTCGCCCACACGCACGCGTGTGAGAGGGTTCAGGAGGGAAAAAAAATGTGTGTGGGCATTAGTTGTTTTGCCCACACGTAGGTGTGTGGGCTGGTTGCTGTCCATGCCACACGAGGCGTGTGGCACAACTACCCGATACACCACACATGTGGCAGTTATCGGGACCCTAGTTTAAACAGTTTTGCTAAAGCACATCTATGTCATTGATCTTACGTCGAGATTTATGTAGATATTTTTTTTCTTTTTTCTTTTTCTCTTTATGTTTGATTCACTCATTTATATGTGCAATAACTAGAGCACACCTAGATGTGCCCTAGACACATCCTAGTTTAAAATCACAAGATTCGGGTCAATTTTCGAGAATTCAACTTATACTTCCTTTGTCTCAAAATAAGTGTCTCAAGTTTAGTACAACTTCGTACTAAAGTTAATACAAAGTTGAGACATTTATTTTAAAACAAAGAAAGTATTCAATAAAAACTTTTCCTAGGATCCAGGTGATTATTGTTCTATATTTTCAGTATTTTTGGTGTAGTCTTGGGTGGGGGGGCAAATTCTACAGGAATTATGGCGCCTAATTATCGACGACTATTCATTTCTAGGTCAGGGCTCATTTGCTGCCGGTAAACAGTAAATTTAAACAAAAAACAAAAAATAAAAAATGATTCTTTTTTTGCATACAAGATGTTCAAGCATGTGATGTCCGTGCCAAATTTTAGCTTGTTCGGACATCCGAAGAGCTCATGGCAAAAAGAAAAAAAAATCGGTCCAAACAGTGCGTGAACTGTAAACTTTCTCACAGACCCTAAATTTGTGTTTTTTGCTCGTGTTTTTTGCTGAGAGTTACTGAAATGTCCAAACTCCACGAAATTTGGCATAGACTTCACGCACATGAGTATCTCATCACAAAAAAATTCAGATTTTTTTGAATTGTTTTGCTATTTGAAACAATTTTACTGTTTGCTCAAGAGTCAAAACGCCACTTTTCATTGTAGACACCTATTAAGAGTAACTATTTCCATGTTAAACGTTAATAAGGCAGTCTAGGTCTTTGGATCAACGTACTTAGATGAAGAGTTTAGTGCTAATTGTGTTTGGTGCTAAACATCAAAACCACGTGAGCACTGCAGGATTAGAGATATGTACAAATAAGATTGATTTGGTTCTTCGCTCTTTGTGCTTTTACAAGGATAGTAGATAGAATTCATGTTTTTTATAAGGCAGTGAATGCACTTGTCTACATACCTACAATCAAACAAATCGTTTATCCCGTTTTATTTGAGATTAGAGAAAACTTCCATTCCATTTTATTTGGGATTAGAGTATAGCTAAACCTCTGTTAGTGGAGGGTTGCAGCAAAAACACACCTCCTTTTCCTCGAGTATGTGCAAGGTATCAATTAATATAGCAATTGAGCAAATGTTCCAAGATCAAAGAATAAAATAGCTATCAACAACACATGAATTGAAGTGTAAAAACAATGCAACAAGTGTAAAAAAGAGCGCCATAAGGTGAGACGAGTCACATCTAGTTAACTTGTTTTCAGAACCTACATAACAAATTGTGACTCCGACTATTTTTATTATATAGAAAAAAGCCTAATACATGTTAAAAATAGAGAAATATCCTGAAAATTCCCACAGAAATTAGAAACACCCAACATTTCTTTTTCTGGTCTCATCTTAATCGGATAAAAGATAGCCATTAGATTTATGTAACCGTGTCCTGCTGTCAAATGGACCTTACAATCACGCACATATATGACTTTAAGAATTCACGCACACAACATCTGTCACATATATGCCTTCAAAATGCATGTAACAACATTCATCCAATGGACCCTCCCAAAGTACCAAGTGTATCTCCATCTCAATTAGTACTTCCACAGTTCACAAATATAAGATGTTTTGGATATTTTAATATAAAGTACATGCGGACGTAAATGAGTGAACAAACACACTAAAACATATTTATATATACACTAAAAAAGTTAGGGGATCTATATTTGTGAACAAAGGGAGTACATACTAAACGTGAACAAGAACACCAAGATTCTCTCATACCAGCATACAATACAACTTAATATGTTTCAAAATTTTGTCACCAAGACAGAAACATGTGCTTGCGACAACATTTTCCTAACCCTATCGCCACCAAGTCTCCTCCACGTCCTTGGTCCCGCTCCACTCTCCCGTTCGGCGATTCGTCGGCGCCAAAGGAATGGGGACTCATCCCTTTTAAAAGAAATCTTGTTTATACAACATGAGCTCATAACCATGTTAGAGTTTAAGGTGGTCTCAGATTCGTGTGCTCCAAGCGGATTGAACAATTCCCGCGAGGAATAAACATAAAAATCCAAAAGAAATGTAATAAATAAATAAAGTTTTGGACAGTACGCTTAAGGTGTGACAAGTGGTAGCATCAGAGTGTTCCCGTCTTGTTTCTGTTTGTAAGAAAAGTAACCTGCTAGGTAGTCCCGACTGTCTACTACAAAATTTGTCCGGCTCCGGTGAGGGAAAGGCGATGACGACAGCGCGTCTTCGGCTCGCTCCAGTGCTTGTAGTCGTCGCTAGATGATCCATGCAGCTGGTTATAATTTTTATTATCTATTGTGTTCTCCGTGCTACCATGATTGATGAATAAATTGAAATTTCCTATCCATGCTCGTTGCGTGGAATAGTGGGTATAAAATACGGACCCAGTGACCAACTTGGGCTGGCACATTTCAGTTGCTTTTTTTCCCGTTCACTAGTTTTTTGTGACGTTTTTCTCGTCCGTTCTGCTAGCTTTTGCACTGGTTTTCTATCTTTTTTTTTCTTTTTCTCATTCTTGTTGTAAAAGAAAATGTGTTGCTTTTCTACTGTTTTTTATTCTTTTTTGGCATTTAATTCTTCTTTCTTCTATTATTCATTTTATATTATATGAACACTTTTAAAATCCGTGATAATTTTTGAAAATTCATTATTTTTTAAATTCAAGCGTATTTTATAAATTCATGAAATTTTTAAAAATCCATAATTTTTTAAATAAATTTTGAAACATTTGTTTAAAAATGACAAATGTTTATTCTAAATCTGTGTTTAAAACTACAATGAACTTTTTTTTAGATTCTTGAATATTATTTTAAGATTCACGAACTAGTTGTAATGAACATCCCAAAACAACCCATCATTGGAAAGTGTCATTCTGTTCCCAGGTGCATTATGCTAGATGAACAGTAAATTCTGAAAATTTGCAAGAAAAAATCAATTTTTTTGGAGATAAACATTGGTGAGTGTGAAGAATAGGCCTGGCGTGCTGGTGAAGTATTTTCCACTTGTGCCAAAAGGCTTGAATTATACGTGGCCTCTCTGCATTGCGCTACACAAAGGTAAGGGCCGTAAGGCCGTAAGGCATGCCTCATATAATCATTCCCCGGATCATGTCTTGGTTGGTAGTTTCTAGCAATGAGTTTTTCCTTCAAGTATTATCGAGTGCTCCCTAAGTATACTTTTTTGTGAACAGGCGACATTCGTGATACTTATATGGGTAAAGAAACAAACATGCACCCCAAAACGCTTCAAAAATTGCCTTCTTTGAGTACCAATTTTGTTCTCTTATGTCTGCTTTTTCTTTTACCTTGAGCACACCAAATGTTTCTTTTTTTCATATAATTTACACGGTAGTGAAACACTCAAAAAATTCATATACATCCCGGTGCATTCATTTTCGTGTGTCTGCTTTTTCTTTCACCTTGAGCACATCGAATGTTATTTCTTTCCGAAATTTTGCACTGTAGTGAAACGCTCAAAAAGAGTCATATAACATCCCGGCCCATCCACATTGGTCCAGTCAAAACACTGAGTGGTAGTTGGTACTTGTACGTCACAATTGAAGTTGGCATTGTCTAGTTTGGTCGTGTATCATCATCTAGTCTAGTCTAGATCATCACATCACCAAAGGTGGCACCTTCCATTGGAACCTTGGTGTCCACATCCACAACCCTTTGCTCATTCCTATACACATACCTCCTGGCGAAGAAGGTGTAGACGAAGAGCGACACCAGCTCAAGCACAGCAAGCAGCCAGTAGAAGTTGTCGAGCTTGCCCATGTTCAAGTTGGTGCCGTCCAGCCAGCCTCCCGTCCCGTCGGCGCGCCTGGTGACCCGGTTGGCCACCTGGATGAGCAGGCTCCCCAGCCAAGCCGACACCCCGAGGATGCAGTAGAAGATGGAGCTGCCGACGGACTTCATCCCCGTGGACGCCTCGCTGTAGAAGAACTCGAGGAGCCCCACGAAGGAGGTGACGTCCACCACCCCGAGGAGGAAGAACTGCACCGTCAGCCAGAAGACGGACATGGGGATCCCGGTGGTGGCTTCCATGAGGCCGTTCTCCTCCGCGACCCTCTTCCTCTTGGCCTCCACCAGGGCGGCGACGCCGGTGGCCACGGTGGCCGAGAGGAACCCGATCCCGATGCGCTGCAGATGCGTGACGCCGCCCACGTATCCGGTGATCCTGCGCAGGAAGGGGACGATGAACCGGTCGTAGAGGACGAGGATCACCATCTGGAAGACGGTGGGGATGACGAAGAGCGTGGCCGGGGAGATGTGGACGCCGCCGAGCTTGGTGTCCATGGTGTTCCCCTGCTGCACGGTGAAGTTGAGGATGAGCGGCACCGGGATGTATCCGAGGACGGAGCTGAGGAAGATGGGCACCATCCGGAGGACGATCTTGGTCTCCTCCACCTGGGTCACGGTGCACAGCGACCATGGCCCTGTCTCTCCGGTCTCTACCACCGATTTCTCCAGGCACCTGTAGGAAGCTTTAGCTTCAGCCAAGTACGTATATTTCAGGGCTGTTCTTCAGATTTGGCAGGAGCTAGAGTACTTAGTACTTACCGAAAGCCATCTGTCCGCTGCAGCTCTTCAAGGACATTGTGATCATCTTGGTTCAGTTGCTTCAGTTCACTTGCGTTGTCAGGCAACTGAACATTTCTTTTCTTGAATGCCACCACAAGAACCTGTTTGATGCCAAGTGTTTGGTCGAATTGCCATTACTACTACTAGGAACGGATTGTAATCTTGAATGAATCTGAAAAAACAAACACGCGGCGGATAAATATATACCTGCAAGATTCTTGTGATGGCGCTTCCACCGGGCAGCTGGTTCCTGTAGAAAGGGAAGCCGGCCATCCATATGAGCATCCCCAGCAGCACGCAGAGAGCGCACAGGGTGAAGCCGATGTCCCATCCTCTCCTGTTCTCCACCCACACGACGAGCACCAGGCCGACGAAGCCGCCGGAGGACACGGCGAAGGTGTACCAGTTGAAGAAGCTCGTCTCCTGCCGCTGCTCCACGGGGTCGGCCGTGTCGAACTGGTCTCCTCCCAGCGCCGGCAGGCACGCGCGCGCCGCGCCGTCGCCGATGGGGATCAGGTAGAGGCCCAGGAGGAGCAAGCTCAGGTTGGAGCCACGGACCGTCTCGCAGGTCTGCGCGCCAGTGGGACTGCAGGGCGGCGGGTGCAGAGACGGGACGTGCGCTTGCACTGCTAGTAGGATGTAGCCCTGCAAATGCAAAGTGCTCTGAATGTGAGATTAGGCTTGCACAGCGACTAGATTAGTGGTACTCACAAATTGCAATGACCTGGTGGCATGTGTTTGGCGCGTCAAGAGACCAGAGCAATGTAGAGTTAAATGTGAATGATTATTTGGGATCATAAAATCCCATCACATTACTGTTTTATGGAATTCACATGCTTTTCTGCAACATCAAAAACTATTTTTAACACAATCACAAACTATTTAAATTAGTAACAAACACGTGAAGTTGCATAGGCTAGTGTATATGTGGCACGCAAATATCGCATTTGTTAAGACTTTTAGAGCTGAAGAGCACAGCAGGTGAAGGCAGCATATAGCGACTCTCGTTAGGTGGTGCTCTTTGAGCCATAGATCTTGAGTTCTAGAGTGAAAATTTAGGTCCGACCTTCTTTCATTGAACTTGACAATAATGGTATTCCCTTGTTAAAACCATTGTTTGGAGTTTGCTCAGGCTTCTATTTAGGTTGAAACCCATAATCTATCATCAGCGCTTGGATCCGACGACAACGGTGCTCCTGCTTTGTTCCTTTTCTGGAAGCGCCATTGTCAGAGGATCTCTCCTGTTGCCTTATGGTTGTCAGCATTGTTGGCTGATGTTGATGTTATTTGAACATTTTTAATGGAAGAGGATTTGTGGCGCGTAGGTGTGGGAGCACACAGACTCCTGGCCGCCTGATTGTCTTGCGATTTGGAAATTGGTTTGATCTTTACATGTGCTTTAGTCATTAATTACCTTAGGTGGGGTCCATACATCCAACTTTTGACAGCTCCACCCGTCCCACTTTCCATTTTTTTCTTTGACTTTCAAATTTGAATCCATTATATTTTTTGAATCGAAAGTTTAATTTATGTTTGGTTTGCATATTCGTGTTCGTTGGGACGAGGGCTTTGGAACAAGACCATTTGTCAATACGTTTTGACAAGTTTAATAGCTCTAGCAAGTTTCAACAACTAAACTTGATAGGGACGAATGATAAGTTCATCAAGTTTCAAAACTAAAACTTAAACCCTAAGCCCAAGACCCTAAACCCTAAATCCGAAACCAAATGAAACTTGGTAAAAGTTGATAAGAATCTAATGTTACGACTATTAGGTTTTAAATATTTGACACTTCTTAAAATTTAAAGTTCTCAAAAATGTATTCAAGAATGGTCTTGTTCAAAAACAAATGTTGCAACAAACACACATATACAAATGAAACTCAATTTGGACTTTCGGTTCAAAATATATAATAGATTGTAATTTGTGGATCAAATGAAAATGCATGGGGGTGGGATGGGTGAAGCATGCATGCATGGAACC